ATTCGCCTTCGACTCGATTACAGACATGCTCGACTATCAGAGTGAATGGAATAGGAGGCAATTCATTCATCACCTCCTTTGTCACCCTCAACATCGCGCTCACTGATCTAGCAGGCCACATAATCCAATATCCGGCCAAATTCTATGTTAACCCGGCGAGTACTACGAAGATCATCATAGGAAACAATTTCCTAACGCATTACGGAGCTGTGATTGACGTAGACGAAGGGCGTCTGAAATTACGGAGGGACTCATCAAGCAAGGCTTCATTTAAGCTGGAATGTAAGCCGTCTTTGCCTCCGGATGTTAAAGTAACTGAAAGCTTTACCATTCGAGGATATCACGCCGCTCGAGTTCCAATTCGTATTGACGGATCGGTCAAGACGCCGCACTTCTACCTGGATCCCAAACCTATTCGAGAGGGTGAGTACGCTGTCTCCGCTGCAAAATTAATCGGTAACACATCCGACACCAAGGTTGTCGAGGTATATAACCTCGAACCATTTCCGATAACCCTACGCGAAGGAGAAACTATAGGGACAGCTCACTCGCTTGATACTCGCCTCCCTACGTCTGTATTATCGAATAACACTCCAATTAACTCTGCGGACCGCTCAGAAGATTTGTCTGAGTTTCGAAAAGCGATACAACTCATGGATATCAACCCGAGACTCGACGGATCTCAACGACGCAAATTAATAGAGATTCTAGAGAGAAGACGACATGCTTTTGCCTACGGCGATAGAAAACTCGGTGCAGCCAATATCGACCCGATTCGCATTGACACAGGAGATGCACACCCCATCTCAACACCTCCCTATCACGCTTCGCCTAAGGGTAAGCAGATCGTCGAAGAAACTGTTGCTAAATTGCTAGCGGATGATATCATCGAGCCTTCTGAGTCCCCATGGGCATCTAACGTTGTCCTCATTTCACAGAAGGATAAAATACGTTTCTGTATAGACTATCGAGCACTCAATGCTGTGACTAAAGCAGATCAATATCCGCTGCCTCGGATCGACGATTACTTGAGTCAATTCGAAGGTAAGCGTTACTTCACAACATTCGACGCAAACTCAGGGTTCCACCAACTACCTGTGGACGAAATGGATCGCGAGAAACTCGCCTTCAGGACACACAACGGACTATATCATTACAAGAGGATGCCGTTTGGAATTCGGAATGGACCGTCAATATTTCAACGAGCCATGGACAAAGCCCTCGGACCGACGAAGTGGAACTTTGCTGTAGTGTACATCGATGATATCATCGTGTATTCTGCAGATTTTGATCACCACCTCGCGCATCTAGATCAGATCTTGGATCGCATTATCAAATCTAGATTCACATTGTCGATACCAAAATCTCACGTGTGCTATCAGGAAATACATGCACTGGGACACAATGTGAGCCGCCTCGGAATAGGCATGAAACGGGAGAACGTCAAGGCTATATTAGAATTCAAGCAACCGGCTTCAGTGAAGGATGTACAAATATTCCTGGGCATGACAGGTTATTACCGGCGCTTCGTGAAGGATTATGCGAAGATTGCAAGACCACTGACCGCTTTACTGGCTAAGGATAAAGTGTTCGTATGGTCAGCTCACTGTCAAGATGCCTTTGAACGACTTCGAGATGCTCTCGCAAGCGATCCGATCCTCGTGCATCCAAACTATGACAAACCATTTATAGTATACACTGATGGATCGAAGATAGGACTTGGAGGAGTGCTCGCGCAGATTGGAGACGATGGGAAGGAGCACATGATAAGCGCCGTATCCAGACAATTGAATGCACAGGAAGAAGGGTACACAGCGACTGAACTTGAGTGTTTGGCTGTTCTGTGGGCTTTGAGAAAATTCCATCCATACATCGACGGCATGCCAGACGTCTCAGTAATTACAGATCACATTGCGCTCCAATGGATATGGAATTATAAGGGCACTAACGCTCGATTGAAGCGCTGGAGCCTGGAACTACAACCATACAAATACACTGTGACCATTAAGCATCGGCCAGGCAAGACGCATGCTAACGTCGATGCGCTATCCAGAGCACCTCTCGTGAACACAGCTCCACCGGAAGACGATGCAGACTGCTTCAATACGCTTGTGGCATCAATCCCACCGCAATTCTTTAGTACAATACGAAACGGATATTTACAAGACGAGTACTTTGCGCCTATATACGAGCAAATGCAGTCCGATCCGAAGACCGGACACCTGCAGCAATTCCTACTCGAAGACAATTTGCTATTCAAGCGATCAGCAGACGGACAGTCGAGACAGCTGTGCATACCAAGGTATAAGCAGCTTCGAGATAGAATACTGCACGATCACCATGATGCAGTGACATCTGGACATCAGGGAATCGAAAAGACACTGAATGCAATAGCACGCACGTATTATTGGCCTCGCATGGGTCAGAACATTCGAGACTATGTCCGATCTTGTGAGAAGTGTCAGCAGAATAAGTCATCGAACCAACGGCCGCTCGGATACTTGAGACCGAACCCTGTGCCTCCAGGACGATGGCATACAGTCACAATCGATTTCACCGGTCCCTTCGTGCCTGTAGATAGAGACGGAGGTGTCGACTCGATCATGGTGGTGGTAGATAAAGCAACGAGGCGTTGCCACTTCGTACCTGTCCGGCAGAGTGATACCGCTGAAGACATCGCTTCAGCATACTTCAAAAACGTCGGCAAACTGCATGGCGTACCTCGTGTCATTATTTCGGACCGAGATCCTAAATTCACCTCACGATTCTGGACGGCATTAGTTAAGACTTTCGGAATCAAACAAGCCATGTCAACAGCAAATCATCCTCAAACCGATGGACAGACGGAGAGGATGATACGATATCTGAAAGATATGCTCCGTCATTTCATAAGTTACAACCAGAAGAACTGGATAGAACTCTTACCTGCGCTTGAATTTGCGTATAACAACGCCGTAAATGCAACCACGGGCCGGAGCCCGTTCGAACTAGATTATGGATATCACCCATTCGTGCCTCATGCACTGGGAACAGGCGATTCTTCAGGTAACGAAGACTTCGACGAATTTCTAGAACGACTTCAAGCGGCGATGATCGAAGCCGAAGACTCGATTATTAGGGCACAAGGCATACAAGCGAGATATCACAATGCTCACCGCCGAGGACACGAGTTCAAAGAGCAGGAACTCGTGTGGTTATCTGCAAGCCATATACACCCGACTTGGGAAAAGAATCGGCGTACTCGGAAGCTTTTACCGAAGTACTATGGCCCTTTTAGAATTATGAAGAAGGTAAACGAGAATGCTTACCGATTGGATCTTCCTGAACACATGCGAGTTCACCCGGTGATCAACATCGAATATCTAAAGCCATATATAGAAACTCCAGAAGAGTTCAGCAAGCGAAAGCGAAAGCCGGACCCACCAATGACGGTCGAAGGGCAGGCTGGACATGAGGAGTTAGATTGCATTAATGATCACGAAGTAAGGAACAACAAACTATATTACCTCGTGCAATGGAAGGATCAGGCCGTCCATGAGAGCCGATGGCTGCCTCGCGACGAATTGCTTATCGGAGCACGCGAGATGCTGGAGGAATACGAACATGCGCACGGAATTATAACTCAGATGTCAACGAAGGAGCCTCATGCAAGAAACGTGGGAAAGCGTACCTCACCTACGAATGAAGCGACGCCAAAGCATAGAACGAGAGTAGAACGAAAAGGCAGCACACGACAGATGAAAGGACCACGAGGAGATAGGAAGAGAATGGGCGCAAAACGTGCAGCAAAAGTTCCAGCAAGATCGAAGGCTGCAAATAGGGCATAACAGTTCTGCATGTAAGTATAAGAGCAGCCCTAGCTCACCGCTTAAAATCGGCGAACATTCCTGGAATAGTTCTCCACACATCGCTTTCAGCTCATCGTTCATACTTACACATCATGCCTGCCTTCTACCGCGACGCTACGCCGTTTTATCAACGCGATGCACACACTCCTTCTATAATCTCCCACTCTCACGAACACGGCATCAAACTCGTTACGACGCCGGCGCTATCGCCTTCCTCCGACAATTATTCTATCATCACGACTCCAGGCTCTCCACCTGGCCTCTCTTTAGCATCCCTGGGTTCTTCACCGAGTCTCTCTTCGCTGGACATCAACGATTCCATCAAATCGTTCGATGGTCAGTACGATTATTGTAATACAAAGGATACCGCTAATAATTTCGACACAGAACTCGAATATCCATCGTCAGAGACTGACGAATCTCCTGACGAGGGGGAGACGACGCAGGCTACATGCAACGCCGTTGTTCCGGCTCCTACTCCTGGAACGGCTCTCGCATACATCACCGATCTCCTGCGACAATTACAGGAGTCTCGCGATCGATCCTCTTCGTCCGGCACATCACCCGAGGTCATAGATCTCACGAATTCCGATTCTGACAACATGGACATGTCTATAGACGATCCACACACCTTTTCCAACCCGTTAGAGCGATCTCAGCGCTCGAATCATCGCCTACATCCCTTTGACATCTCTGGCACTGTTCCTATCGGACCATCGGATTGGAATACACCCTCGGCTTCACTGTCCCGCTCCCAGAAGCGTGCTGAACGACGTCGTCGTAATCGCGAACTTCGCAAGAAGATCGTGTCGCCTCCTCCTCATGCAGCTCGTCCTACCTGGAAGCGGCTCCCCATTCCTCTGTCCGCTCGGATTTCTCCTCATCTGCTATCGCAGATATTCTCCACGTTCACTCTCAACCCAGCACTCACTTCCAACGCCTTCCACGACTTGTCTGAGTCTGAACGTACCGCTCTACGCATCGGAGTGATATCCCTTCACAACAGGATCGCCTCTTCGGCTCGTCATGCTAATCTCATCCTCGAGCGAAAGCCGATCCTCAAGATACTCGACCATCATGTTTTCGACAACGCTATCGACTATCGCATCGGCTCAGGACCCCATGATTGGGTCCGTGACATCAATATCGGTTCCTATCCTGCAGGAAACCGCGCTGTCGACCATTATTGGGGCCATACCTCAAATATCACCCCTCGTCCTATTATCACCCCTCGTCTCGCTCGCCAGCTTCGTCTTCATGCTCCCCAGTACCAGGGAGTTCACGGCGTCTGGCTCGATCGGTTTACAGGACACGCAGAACGCGTACGTGACCCAAGGACTCGGTCCCGCGTCTAAGCGATACCAAAATAGGAAATTACCCGTCCCTTTTGGGACATAGACTTTGCCTGCGCCTTCCGGCATCTCGGACTCCTTCAGTATGGACTATTCTCTCCCTTCTGGACTTAGGACACTTGTATTTTCGAATGGACTCATTTTCTAACTACTTTGTATGTACAACTACGGATCGGGACGATCCTTTCTTTTTTACCGGAGGGTAGTGTAACAGGCCTGAGTAGAAGTAAGTAGAATCGTGTAGAACGCACCCGAATAGCGTAGCTTATCGTAGGATAGCGTCGCATCTGCGTACGCTGACTCATCTGACTCATACTCGCAAGTATAAGATAAGCGCTTAGCGCGCCTCTCGAGCTCTCGGAGCTCCCGTGTATATCTTAGATAGTAATTGATTGATTCTATTGTATGCTTCGTTGTATGAAGCATCTATAGATAGATTGAATACTCACTGAATCAACTACCGTCTCACTCGAACTGAAGGCCTCGCCGACTGATCAAGAACCTTAAGATTATCTTATCGGTAATCCATTAGATTAGATATCTATCTATCTACTGCTACCGTTACACTTCGCGCAAACCCGAAGCCATCATCTCGCTCTACGGCATGGACGGCGGCCTCCTCCTTTGCGATCATTACGTCCCAGGTCATCCAGAAACGTTTCGTTTCTTCCATGATCGCACCCAATCGGCGGAGATCCAGTCATTTATCCGCCCTGGGGCGTCTCCGCCGCCTTCTTCGGAAGCTGCTCTCATGCCTGGAGATGTGCCAGTGCTGATCTGCACCGGCGGACGACAATACGGTCTAGAAATGAACCCTGCTCGACTTCATGACGGGTAACATGGCTCGGTGCCTCCCTCAAGGATCCCGCCACGTCCGAAGCTCGTGCGATGGCCCTGGACGAGGTAGACCGCGTGCTGTTCCCGCAGATCAGAGCTGAGGAGCTACCGCCGACGGTGTTCATCCATGGTGACTCAGATACCGATGTGCCTTTATGCGAGAGTTTTGTGACTCTCATGGCGTTGGAGGGTGTAGGCGTTAGAAGCTCTTGGGTGGTAGTCCCGTTGGCAGAGCACGCCTTTCTTCCACTCGTGGAAACAAGGAAAGAGGTGGAAGAAAGTCAGGGGGCCCATGCGAGACCTGTGGCATTCTTAAACCGCTGCGTCTGTACCTCCTCATTGGCGTGATGTTTGGCCTCTTATCAGGATGTATGAGATACGATATACTATATGTATTTGACCTGGGAAGTGGTTATTGGCCAGTGTTTCCGAGAAGAAAATCTGATTCGTGCTCTCAGAGGCTTACACTGTCACTGCCCTATGCCTTGTCTCTTGCGGCAACAGTAAAGTAACAGCACGCTGAATGCGAATCATTGATACAATATCGTCGGTGTAAATCATTCTATATGATATCTCAGGCGTTTCAAGGTGCATACTCTTCCTTCTCCTTCACTGTCAGCTTCGGCTGGGGATGAGGTTCCTCGTCCACCAGACGAACGATGCTAAACCTTTCTATCCCGATTTTGCGCACGACGACCCACGCCCAGGGGATGGCGAAGACGATCAAGCCGATGTTGAGGCCGATGGAGAGCCAGTCGGTGGTATCGCTCGACTTGATGCCGTACGCAACCGCCTGGCCAGCACATTCAATACCACGCAATGTGCCCGTCATGTACGAGAGCACGATGAAATCGTCAGACACTGAGCCGTATCTTCAGTGACCGTCATACTATAAACCAGGAGCGGACTCACTTTGGCTAAGAATCCAGTACAGCGTCGTCTGGGTCGCCATCGTCGCCATGTCGAAGAAGAAGAACAGCGCATATGTTTTCCCGAACCAGCTGCTGTCTGTCCAGTCGATTGTGGGCTGGTGCTGAATGAGCTGCTTGGTTACGATCGCCGTCCAGACCCAGAGGGCGAGGTTGAAGACCATGAGGCCACCAAATGCCCACCGCGCGCGCGCCTTGATGGACATCGACTGCCTGTCGAGAAACCATCCAATACCGAAGCCACCGATGATGTCGGCAAAGTTGATGGTGAAGGCGCACAGTGCGCGCGTCCGGACGTTCATGAATTGCGTCTGGAGCGTGCCAATGTAGGATCCGTAGAACCAAGAGGTGAAGAACAACGGGCACAGGAAGAGAATCTATTACTGGATGTCAATTTCGGTGTAGCAATCGCGGAAGCGTGATCAGACATACGGAAGGGGACGAGACGACCTTGAACCATTCCGCAAAGGTCTGCTTCCAGCCCGTCTTCCGGAAGTGGATAGCCTTGCCATCCTTACGTTGGACCTTGTCCGGGTGGGATATGAGCAAAGCAAAGAACGGGCCGGCGCACATTATGCCAATGATGACGAGATACGTATGCAAAGACACGGCGCCGGAGGAGTCCGTCTTCGAGTTCAGCCCGAAGATGATCGCTCCGCCAATGACAGGAGCAGCTAAACCGAGCCCATCAGTTGCTGCAGATACTGAAGTAGTCGATGCTCTTACCAGACCGCATGAATACCCATAAGCCGAGCATTTTCCCTCTCGATGCCTCTTCCGGGTACGCTGCATGTGGATGAGCAGCTAGTCAAAGCGCGGGTGTGTATGCGCACGCACAGGTGATGATGGGGCCTTCAACCGCATACATCAAGCCATCAGTCATACCGGACAGGATGGAACCTAATGCACAGATTGAGAGCTGAAGTGTGTAACTGGTGTGCGAAATCATACCAAGCATGAGAAACCATTGCGTCCCATTCTTGGAATTTATGTACAGACTCCCTGCATAGCTGACGTGCTAATGAGACGGCTGACATATGTAACGGGACAAAGTAGGACAAACATGATATCACCCGTGCTGGAAATCTGCGTAGGACATGAGCCAAAACGTACTCGAATGCAGGCAAAATCGCATATCGTACCAGAAGGGCAACACGGACGCCAATCTTGCTTACTATGACACCACCGATTATGCACATGAATGCCATGAACACTGAGCATATGCATCAGGATCCCGAATATGTAGCGTCGAGCCCAGTGCACGAACCATAGCCAGCCGCCGCAGTGGCGTTGGCATACCATGGGGTAGCAAGTCCTCCCGCGCCGAGGTTGGAAAGAGCGTTGTACATTCCGGGTGCGCAAAAGAATACCTGATCAGTCTCTTAGCATCGACACTCTCGGTATGAGACTTGGATGCGAACCATTCCTGACCGCATGTCGCCTTAGACAAATGGTATCGTTCATTCTGGTATATTGCACTCACCAACGACGAGGACCTGGAATGTAGTGCTACGAAACCAGTGCACGTTGTACTCCTGAGCCTGGACATCCGAAGCACTGTGGCTCTCGATGGTAGCGACGGAGACATCCTTGGGGAGAGCGGGGACGTAGGTTGGGTCTTCCATCGGGGAGGGAGTAGCTGGGGCTCAGGCTAATCCATCGCTGCCGTCATGGAAGGATATAAAACCGGGCCCAATTTGATAAGGATAAAGCAAAGCAAGCTCCGTATCAAGAAGAGGTAAATTCGTGGCCGTTTCGAAGACCCGTCGGCCCCATGGTGACCTAGATAGCTATCTTCATCCCGGTCCTTCCGCCGCGCAGTCTCCGTCCCATCACGTCCGCGACACGAGACTCGTCGCACGAATTAGATAGCAGCCCGGCACCATCGGTACGTTTGTTCGCTGAGCATTCTTACCTGTAGCTTCTGAGGCCCCTCCGATGATGAAACCCTGTCCAGTATGACTCCGTTGGGGTCGGCAGTGCCGCCGGCGAGATACAGACACTTTTCTCGCGGGAAGTGCCATGGGGCGTCCGATGAATCCACCGCCGCATGACCTCCCAATCGAAGCCAGACGAAGCTCCTAGCTATCGGCCTTGTCTTTCCGTCGTATATGGAGTTGAGCTCTCTTGAGACAAGTCCATATTGTATTCCTTTGGCGTACGTGCAGCAGCAGCAGATCGTAAAGACATGCCGGGAGGTACCGTCAGGTACATGTCGAGTCGCTTATGCGCTTTTCCGAGCCTTCTTTATTCTATTTTTACCCCGTTCGTCGGAGAGGGAAGCAGGAGGAGGAGAAAAACTGGAAACTCCGAGCCACTGGGCGGTTGTTCAGAATTTGCACGATCCTGCAATTATCGGATAAGATCATCACCCAGCACTTGCCCTCCTGGACGCTGACAGCTCAGCGCTCATCCGACAGACCATACGACTCAGTGTAGCCAGCTCCATGCTTTCGACAAAGGGACCAGCCTCCTTCACGACACTTTGCCTGATGCATCAGATACTCAGAGGAAGAGTGTTTACATATATATGACGGACACCTTCGATTCCTGTCTCGGTCTCACAATACAACGGATGGATTGTTGCACAAAACTAATGCACGAATTGCTTGCGAAGAGCATGGTTGAAAAATTGGCACGACAGCCTAAAAGTAGCCTGAATCGAGTTTCGCGATATGCGAACCGCAAAGCGCACCGAAGAACAAGAACACGTACCACCCCCATGCATCCAAGGGGCCCATCTACCTCGTGCGCCCTCCCACAGGACCCGAGGACAAGTTGACAAGACGCGCAGGTTTGAGAACTGCTCGGGAGCCGCGTGACTGTCGCAAGTGCTCCTCGCTACACAGGAGGGCCTCAACGAAGCGGTCGGGCCAGGCCCGTGCCAGCGCACCGAAGGGGTTGCCTCCCGCGCCGCCCGAAGGCGGACGGCGCCGATAGTAGGTGGTGTAAAGGCACCTTGGTCACCCCCTTGGGACCACATCCTTAAGTATAATTCTACCACTCAAAAATTTTACCTAATATAGTTATTTGTACCGGTGCATGTATTTTGGGTGTTATGCTCTGGGCGCACCACCAAGTCTGTGGTTTATACAACGATGGTGGTACCATCTCCGAGCATTCTAATTGCACTTTAGGGGGCTCATTTCTTGCACAGCATTGCTTACTGATGCTCTACAGATTATTCATAGGTGTTTCTGGCCTAGTATAACAGCAGTCTGTAAAATCAGAAATGGTCGCCCCCCCCCCGCCAATAGCACACAATTTGGGAATGGTGCTGGAAATAGCACACAACTCTGGAAATAATGTGTGCGCACATCACCGGGAAGTGTGCTGACCACACACCCTGTGGTACGGTGTTGGCATGCTGATTGAATGG